AGAAAATTAACTCTATCCCAGCCGAAACCAGGACACTACTTTATCAGGAGCATGGATTCTATGTAGTCTGTCCTTACTGCTTGTCATATAAGTTTTACTTTGCTGAAATGATGGTCTGAATGAAACCCTCAATCTGAAATTATAAACCTTTAAACTTACTTGGAACAGTAGCAACCCAAACCTTAACTTTTTGGGTACCATTACCAGTCCTGTGATGCTTTAGACAGGACATGGGCACCTCTCTTGCAAGATTCTTGTTGCTTTTAACTTTGTATATCTAGAACCCTGTGAGGTGAAAGTTTCAGACATACAAGCAATCTTCCTTGACCTGAATTTCACAGGGAAAAACCTCAGGCTAGGGTTCAGCCAATTTAAAAAATAAAGCTAAACAAACAAAAACCCAAACAAACAAACAAACACCACCCCCACCCCCGGTGTGTTTTGTCTTGTCACTTTAAGCTTTTTTTACTTTGGAAAACTGTTTTTCACAAGTTCAGGTCACTGTCAGAAACATCTTTTGCCCTTCCTCAGAAAATCTGCCTGGTTTTCACCAAATTAGAAGTTTTTGAAAAATGGGTTTCCACAGTTGATACATACAGCTTCAAATTCAGTGAATGTGTAGAGATTGTCTTGCATGAACAAGTTTAGACTGCTCGTAGCTCTGAAGGGGATGGGACTGCAGATGTGCTGTCCCCAGAGAACATTCTCAAATGTTCTGTATCAGAGTAGGATCACGAGACTAAAAGTAGGTACACCTTATGACTGCTCTTGACTGCTTTTAGTGAAAACACTGGAACTGAGAAATAGGAATTTCTGGTGTGCCCTGAAGTAGTTTTTTTATTCTTGGTCTTTGGTTAGAAGGGAAGGGGAAAGCCACTTGATTCAACTGCAAGGGCATCAATGGTAGGTAGAGGGAAGAAGGACAAAGACTCTGAGCCTCTGAAGCTTACGTGTTGTGGGAAGAGAAGTCTGGTTTTGGTTGGGCAAGGAGGTAACTGGCTCAAAGTGAACACAGGCTGGAATCAGAGAAGATGGGTTTAAGTCAAAATAAGAAAAGGCAGAGGTGAATGGAGAGCAGTGGCATGAAAGGATTACAGCAAGATTTAAATGAGAAACAGGAGGGAAAAGGATAAACTGGGATTGATGGAGAAAGGAACCCAAGTAGGGACAAAATGTGGTTCTAGGAAAGGAGCTGAAGAAAAGAGGAGAGGGAAGCAGAAGGAATCTGGAGTTAAGGGGTAGGAGAGTAGGATATGGTGGCAAAGTGAGAAATAAACTTTTACATAGTTGGCTGTTCTAAAACATACAGTAGAACGTGACATGCAAGAAATAGGTGCTGAGAGGGCAAGAATTTCACTTACTTAGGAAAAAAACAGTAGGAACACACCATCATTGCCCCAAAGCAGAGATTGGCTAAAAAGTTGTAGACTTAAGGCAGTACTAAGTTAGTATCAGAAGTCTACTCAGCATACCAAAAGGCCACAGTCCTGCTGACCACTAAAGATCTCAAGTTTGATAGAATTTCTGCTCAGTTTTCTTCTGTGTTTTGGGGGATTTTTCTTTTCTTTGTTTTTTTAAAGCACACACGTGCACACACACAAGCTATATTGAAGAAACAGTATTAAGGTTGAAAAGCTGAGATTTGGGGAAAAAGGAAAAATTTTATTTATTTTTTTTTTTTTTTAAAGTAGGAAATGCTGGAAGTTGAGTTCCAGTTTTATAGATAAAACTGTGCTGGCACATAATTTTAGTATTAATTATTGCCATTTTAATTACCTTACCATGTGATACTTCCACAAATTCCCTGCCTTGTTTAATACCTCTGGTGGACTTACACTGGGGTGGACTAAGACTGCGTAATAAGACTGTCTTAATATGGTAGATGACAGGAATAAGAAAAGAAGGTCATGTTATGGTTAGAGTTATATATATTTTTATATATGTATGGTTAGAATGGTTTGCCATCTTGAAAGGAAGGATTTTGATCCTTAGCTCTGAATACCTGTGGAAGAACAGATGAGTGACTTAAACTTTGCACTACTGGTATGTAGTTAATTCTTTTCTTAGTTTCACTGTCTTGGAGATCACAAGCAGTGACAGCTGCAGACAGTATCTGTCTTGTATATTACACACTTTGCAAAATGTGCATAAGTGATATAACATGTAGTTTTTTCAGTTTTTATTTTCAGCCTTATGAAATTAGTGCTCTTATGAATGTGAACTCTGCTATGACCTGTGCCTCTAGTTTCTTCCTTGTAAAATGAGGATACGTTGCCTCTTCACTACAGTAATGCGAGCAGTTGGTAAATGTTAAATGTCCTTATGTTACCTTGAGCAATACATGAAGCTGATAATTGTTTCATGGTATAGTCTAAAGTGTGTAGTAAAGAAGGCTACAAACCTACTCACTGAGTAAAAGAGAGGAAAGTGGTATAAAAAGGCAGTACATTTAATAAACAGCTTTTGGGTTTGTTTTTTTTTTGCCCTGAATCATGTAGGGATCTTACAAAAAACATTAGTGTGATCATATTAAAGACTTCATCATAGGTCCTACATCCACAGATTGTACAAACAATCTAAACTTAACATTTACTGAAACTTTCAGTATTTGTTTTTGTAGTTCTTTGTGTAGCTTCTTACAGGAATAGATTGTGTATAAACATTTATTTCTTTCAAATGCTCCCAGATAGCTCGATGTATCAAAGAAATTGTAGCAGCCCTATGTCATCAGTAGCGATAGCATTAGTTACCCTGGCTTTTGATGTTTTCCTTTTCAAATTCTCATGGTCAGTTTTGAAAAATCAATATAAATGGACAAAAATATTGCTAACAGTTAAATGACTTGTTTGTATGTTGCAATGAATGGCTTTTACTTAATGCTTTTCAGTTGCATTTGTCTTACGTTTTTCTGTTTTTACATGCTTAGCACGCCCAGTTTAGGGAGTCTAGGAGTCTGTTTGATGAAATATTCCTCAGTCGTCCAGAGGTATGGTATAGTTCTCTCTAGTTTAGACTTTAACTATGAATT